GGGGGTCCTTATCGTTGACATACAGTCAAATGAGTATTGGTTTTAGTTGTCTATTCCTGCTCTTGAACAAAATTGTTAAAAAAAACGAAATATTGCAAGAAACATACACACAGCCACACAGTAGATGTTTAAGAGGCTCACTATTTTTCATCTAAAGAAGGATGAGATCAAAGTTCAAAAGTTATTTCAGTTGAGTGGGTTCCATAGTAAGCAAAGACTTCAGAAGACAAATTTTGTTCTTATTGGTTCTAAATCAGCTAAGCTATCTTCTTGATTTTATTCAAAACAAGAGCAGCAAATTTATTCTCACACAAAAGTCTATCCTAGAGGTTCTTTGTTGGAAATCTTTAGGTTTCACTAGTGCAGCCACATTTTTTTTATTTGTTTTTCCGTTTGAGTTGGGTCTGCTTTAAAATTTATAGTAGATGTTCTGAGGCAAATCTAACTAATGGCTGCTGCTAATTCCAGTTAGAAGAAAATCAACTACTTAATTGTATATATTCTACAATTACTCTTGGGGCATTCTTCACCCACATTGGATCATATCCTCCCCCCGCCGCCAAAAGAAGACATCTTTGATTATGACATTTTTCCTACAAATTTCAATATTCAGCCCACCTATGAACCATCTTTGCCCCCCGCGCCATACTTAATAACAACCGGTGTTTTAACTCCCTTACTCAATAATTTCACCTCCCTACTCAAAAATTTTCATTAGTTAAACAAAAAGATTATACAACCCATACTGTAATTATTACACGTCCATCCTTGGCGCTTCCCATGTTGTCTATTTCTTCAAGTACGCTTTTTCCTATAGCAAGTTATGTTAATTGTGAGAAAAATTCTATCTGTCAATGCTCTTTTATAGAAGCAATTACAGCAGGACATTAAACCCCATAAATTTCATGAGGCCACTACCGATCATGAATAGTGTGAGGCAATGCGATCTAAAATTCAGGCTCTAGAAGATAACCATACATGGAATTTGTAAAAACTCCCATTAGGAAAAGTGATTTGTGTTTCCGTTGAGTTTACATAATTAAATAGCACTCTCATGGGATGATAGAATGTCGTGATAGAATGTAATTAAATAGCACCAGGGGCGGATCCAGGAATGAAGAGTGGGGTGGGCTTAGCAGGAAAAAAATTGTTATTGAAAACAAAAAGTTTAGCTTAGGCTGCATAGGGCCGTAATTGAATTGAGTTTTTATCGAACTACGCGAATTCGAGCGTGATTTCGAATTTAATTTAGTGATCTGAGCTTAAGAAGCTTTTTTTAACTCGAACACGAGCTAGATTTTGAGTTCGAATAGTTGTTCAAGCTGAGTTCGAGCATAGTGGTATTCGGTTTGATCCGGACTCGAGTCTATCAATAACTCGTAAATTATAGGAATAAATTTTATTTATCTTAAAATTTAAACATTTTCATTGCAATTTTTTAAATATATTTGAACACTAAAAAAATAGAGTTCATGTATCTATTTTATTCAAGCCGAGTTTGAGCATAAATTAAATTAATAATCAAATAGAATTACATAACTATTAAATAAAACTAATGCACAAATAATAGATTAAAAGAGTATAAGAGTATGTGTGGATGGTTGGACAACTAGACTCGGCTAGAGGCAGCTAGTCGGACTCGAATAGACTAGAGGGGCAGAGCCACAACGAGCTACAGGCTGGAGCGTCGGACTCCAGAGGGACACCGACGATCGACCACAGACATAGGGGACATGAAAGCAGGTGGCTGCGCGGCTGGATGTCTGTGTTTGTGACATCGTGGCTTCGTCGCTTTACTGAGTTGAGTCCTTCCCGCTTCTCCTTTGTGCTTGTTAGTCACTTTATAACAAAAGTATACTTCTACAGTTCTAAAAATCACAAATAGTAGTTCTTACCATGCTTGTTGCAAAAATTAGAACTAGATAATGAACTGGATGATGGAAAAAGCATAATTTTATTAATAATAATAATAATAATTTTAATAATAATAATAATAATAATAATAGTATATGACCAAATAAGGATAGTTGATAAAGAGTAACTTAGTTATTTTAATGATTATAATTATATTTAATTTTTAATGCTTATAAAAGTTACTCATGGTGACTTGGGTCAAATATTAGTAATATTCATATAATAATAACAGTATTATAATAATAATATAATATTAATCATAAATTTTATGTTGTAAAATAATATTGTAAACTTGTAATATAAAGTGCTTTCATTGATGGTGTGGGTGAGTGGGTGAGATGGGATTGCATAATTTGCAGCTGGCTCCAAACACCAACTACATATGATTGTTTAATACTCCATAGGTAAAGTTTTGTTGCTCAATTTATCTCACACCGATTGCAAGGATGGTTCACCCTCCTGAGTGTCCTATATATAAATCACTTTTTGGTGCAATCACACCAAGCTCTATTATTACGCATCGGGATCATTTATTCTCGGGATCATTTGTTCCCATGACTATGGGCTTTAAACAAAGTTTGGGCAGCCTTTTGCTTTTAGAGCTTCTTAGAACACTTCCTTGTAGACTTGGGGTGGGCTGAGTTTTAATTTTTGGGTGGGCTGAAAATTAAATCTCTTTCTATACTAACAAAAAAATTTGGATTGGGCTGGGCTAGAGCCCACCCTAGGCCCTACATAGATCCGCCCATGAATAGCACTCTCTAGAAGATAACCATACAAGGACTGTAGTCACGGACCGTAGTCACGGATTTGGTCCGTGACTAGTTAGTCACGGTTCTAATCACGGTTTAGTCACGGAACCGTTAAAAAAAAAGTAGTCACGGATTTGTCCGTGACTACGTCCGTGACTATAGGTAGTGACGGACCTAGTTCGTGACTAAAGTGTTCCGGCCAACCCATTTTCGCCTCCGGCGGGATTTTTTTAAATTTGAAATTAGTCACGGACAAGCCCGTGACTAGTACCGTGACTAACTGTAGTCACGGACGTGTCCGTGACTACAGTTAGTCACGGACACGTCCGTGACTAATTCCGTGACAAGTGCAGAATTGATTTTTTCAACGTTTCAAATTTAAAGTGCACCAACAATTCGTACAAAAAAATGTAGTCACGGACACATCCGTGACTAAGTCCGTGACTACAAATTTTATATATGCAGCCTCCGCTTCATTCAACAAAATCACAACATCTACTCCAGATAGAATTCCAGATAGAATTGAAGGATGTAATCTACCCATCTCATATCATTTTTCCTGTTTATGCAAATAAGATATGTAATATGAATTACGTATTTTTTGTAAATTAGTTAAATATGTAAATTTGTTAATAAATACATATGTAAGTATATTATTAAATATAATATTGGCAATACATATGTTATTAATTTTAAAATATAGGGTTAAAATTACGTAAATTAGTTAAATACGTATGCAAGTATATATGATTAAATATAATTTAAATGCATATTATTAATATTAGTTAAATGTAAGTATTATTTAATTCAAATGACTTTATATATATATATATATATATATATATATATATATATATATATATATATATGATTAAATATAAGTATATGATTTTTTTATATTGGCAATTATTGTTAATTAAGGCAGCCTAATTTAGGATTAATAATGATTTAAATTAGGGTTAGTTAATTTAATTTAAATGTGTTTATTATATATATATGCTCAAATTATTGGATTTGCTCATATTATTTAATTTAGTAAATTGTTAAATGTGCATTATTAATAAGATAAAGATGTTGATAATTTTAGTATTGTGGATTAAATTAATGTCATTAACGTATTGTGCATGTTTATAGTTTAATAATATTAATTACTGGACGTTAGTTAATTTTAGTGGAATTTTAGTGAATTTTAGTGAAATTTTAGGCAATTAGTTAATTTTAAGGGAATTAGTTAATTTTAAGGGAATTAGTTAATTTTAAGGGAATTTTAGGGAATTAGTTAATTTTAAGGAAATTTTAGTGAATTTTAGTGAAATTTAAGGGAATTAGTTAATTTTAGGGAATTAGTTAATTTTAAGGGAATTTTAGTGAATTTTAGTGAAATTAAAGGAAACTAGTTAATTTTAAGGGAATTAGTTAATTTTAAGGGAATTTTAGGGAATTAGTTAATTTTAAGGGAATTTTAGTGAAATTTAGTGAAATTTAAGGAAATTAGTTAATTTTAAGGGAATTAGTTAATTTTAAGGGAATTTTAGGGAATTAGTTAATTTTAAGGAAATTTTAGTGAATTTTAGTGAAATTTAAGGGAATTAGTTAATTTTAGGGAATTAGTTAATGAAAAAACACTGTTTAATAAATAAACCATTTTAATTAAAAAGTTTTCCCGAAGTAATTAAAAAAAATACCTCCTCATGTCAAACTTCCAAAAAAGTTTAACATGTTAATAATTATAAAATATTAAGTTAGACATTAAAAAACATTTTTCTCAAATTTAATATAAAATATACACTATGAAAAAACACTGTTTAATAAATAAAGCCGTTTTAATTAAAAAGTTTCCCGAAGTAATTAAACAAAATACCCCCTCATGTCAAACTTCCAAAAAAGTTTAACATGTTAATAATTATAAAATGTTGAGGTAGACATAAAAAACAGTTCTTAAAAAACTGTTTATAAAAAACTGTTTTATAAAAAACTGTTTTATAAAAAACCGTTTTATAAAAAACCGTTTTATAAAAAACCTTTTTATAAAAAACCGTTTTATAAAAAACCGTTTTATAAAAAACCGTTTTATAAAAAACCGTTTTATAAAAAACCGTTTTATAAAAAACCGTTTTATAAAAAACCGGTTTATAAAAAACCGTTTTATAAAAAACCGGTTTATAAAAACTGCTTTTTAAAAACTGCTTTTTAAAAACTGCCTTTGTTAAATTTTTTTTATAAATTTAAATATGAAAACCTATTTAAGATTTCAATCAAAATTTGATCTTCTATTATATTTACACAATTATTTGAAAATGTAAATTAATACTCCTCATTAATCAATTATTTTAGATGAGCAATGAACAATCCACATCCCGTGCTCGCCCGAACTATGCGCCCTTAACCCAAGCCGAACGCAACAATGAAGATTCGGAATGGGTGACACCTCACATGGTTGCTAAGTAAGTAACTATGAACTTTATCTAATGTCAAATAATTTTATCTAATGTCAAATCATCTAACCATAAAAAAATATTAATTTTTTGAAGCGATCAAGATGTGCTCAACCAAATCAAAATCATAATTGGTGGACACTTTCTTGGCAACTGGGCTACGTACACGGATGTTGACCCTAAGGTCCGTGAACTTTGGTGGAACTTGTTCAAGGTAAAAAAATCATTTTTTCGTCATTGATGTAACCTAAAATTTGACAAATGATAAGTTAATTTATTTTTTTTAATAAAGGCCCGGTTTGTTGGAAAAATGTGTTAAAAATTGCATTAAATGGTCATTTTGGGGCAATTATTTGAGTGGGGTCCACTTCCGATTTGGGTCGGGTCAAAGTGGTTTCGGATTGTCCTTGTTAAGGGCTACAATTCGATATGTGGTACACTCAAAACGGATAACGGGTGAATGAGAAATTGATTCTCGAAGTTCACTCGTTGAAATGGAAAAACTGGGAAATATGATGAGTTTCGAGTGTGTTTTATCCCACACCGAAAACCTCAAGGGATTTTCACCCCCTTATAAAGGGAAGCCTCTTTTAAGGAGTTAAGATTCCTAAAGGGAAAGGCTCTCTCTTACGCGCAGGGGGGTGGGTGGGTGCCGATCAAATCCCGAAACGAAGAAGACCGCGACTCGTGTGCGCGGGCGACCTGCGGACACGAATGCTGCCGTCCAAAAATCTATCTCTCAAGAGATACGGTTAATTTTTGTTTTCTTCCCGAAACGTTTATTTTTTTCCCAGAAGGTCTCGGACAGAAACCCTCCAAGGGGGTTCTGCTGGCTTCGGACAGAAACCCTCCAAGGGGTGTTCTGTTGGGGTCTTCTGTCGCGCACTTCTTCCGTTACAACAATTAATGCCCAACGTTCTTCTCTTTTAATGCTGCGTTAAATGGACAGTTTATGGACGATTCAATGCCCAACGGACTGGTCATTGATGTCCAACGTTCAGGTCCATTAACACCCCATTTAACACACAACAAATCCTCCTATAAATAGCTGGCAGGTGCTTTGCAACAAACACACGATTTGACAACGCACAACACTTTCCTCACGTTTTCTTGAGCTACAAACTCTTCCAGCTACTCCCAAAATTGCTTCTGTGTTCATACTTGGTTCTCGTTCGCTGGAACTCTTGTTTGTGTGCTCAAACATTAGTTCGTAGTCATCGTATCCTGGGAAACGATTGTTGCAACGCTCCTAGCACCGTGGGAGGCAACAAATACGTTTTAAGGAAATCGTGCGTAGCACGAGCTTTGGCTAATTCTGCTTCATCTCCTTTCTTGTTTTTCTCTAGTCATTTTATTTAATTAATTTATTTTAATTAATTTTCTTTATTTTCCGAAACACACCCAACAATCTTAAAACGTATTTGTTGAGCTTGTATCATACGGATACAATCTTAAAACGTATTTGCCTTGGTTGTTGTACTGCGGTAAACAATCTAAAAATGTAGTTTGTCACTTTGGTGAACGAACTTAATTTTTGTGTTTTCGGAAAAACGTTAAAGAACGAAAATGACTTCTCAAGAAAACGAGATTGGTGTTGGGCAGAATGTTCTGAACGACAATCACTCTGAAAGCGGAGCACCGGTGAACAATAGTTCACAACGCGGTGCATCTGCTTTGGCCAACCAAAGGGCTATCCCTATGGTGACCGTGCCAAGCAACTCTGTGGAGAAACCCGAGAAATTCAATGGGTTAAACTTCAAGAGGTGGCAGCAAAAGATGCTATTTTACCTCACTACTCTCGGTCTTGCTAGATTCTTGACCGAAGATGCGCCGGTAGTAACCGGGGGTGTGGTGGATGCGCAATCTTTCAACGTGGTTGAAGCTTGGAAGCATTCTGACTTCCTTTGCCGAAACTACGTGTTGAACGGGCTGCATGATGCTTTGTACGACGTTTATAGCAAATTAGCTACGGCTAAGGAGCTATGGAATGCTTTGGACCACAAATATAAGAGCGAGGATGCCGGCGCAAAGAAATTTGTTGTTGGTCGATTCCTTGACTTTAAAATGGTGGATTCAAAGACGGTCTTGGGTCAAGTTGAGGAGATGCAAATGATCTTCAACGAAATTCGAGATGAAGGAATGACGGTTAGTGAGTCATTCCAAGCGGCGTCAATTATTCACTTATTGCCGCCGGCTTGGAAGGATTTCAAGAACTACCTTACACATAAGCGAAAGGAAATGAACTTGGAGCAATTGATCATCCGTTTGCGGATTGAAGAGGATAACCGGAAGAACGATGAGAAACTCCCAATTGTTCATGGCGCCAAGGCCAACGTGGTGGAGCATGCTAAAGGCTCCAAAAATAAAAATAATGGGAAGAGCAAGCTCGGTCCCAAGAGAGGCGTTTCCAAGACAAAGTTCAACGGAAAATGCTTCAATTCAACAAGAATGGACACAAGTCCTCGGATTGCAAGGCACCAAGGAAGAAGAAAGATTCTCACGTGAAGTTGGTGCAAGGTGGGCAAAAGGATGAAGACATCATCCTTGCGGCTGTGGTGACCGAGGTCAACCTCGTTGGATCCAATTCCAAGGAGTGGTTCGTGGACACCGGTGCTACCCGGCATATTTGCTCAAACCGGGAGCTATTCACGACCTTTGAGCCATCAAATGGTGAAAAGGTGTGGATGGGAAATTCTGCTCATTCCGCGGTGGAAGGCGTGGGCAAAGTGGTCCTGAAGATGAATTCGGGCAAGGAGCTGACTCTAAACCAAGTCTTGTTTGTTCCGGAAATACGCAAAAACCTGATTTCCGGTTCGTTGTTGAACAAACATGGCTTCCGCATGGTCTTTGAGTCGGACAAATTAGTTTTGTCTAAATCGGGAATGTATGTGAGAAAGGGGTATACATGTGATGGGCTGTTTAAGCTCAATGTAATGACTATTATTAATAATAATAATAAAATCCCTTCTGCTTACTTGCTTGAGTCTTCCAATGTGTGGCATGGTAGACTAGGACATGTTAATTTTAATTCTATACGTAGATTAATTAACATGGAGCACATTCCTAAATTCACAATCGATGTGAATCACAAATGTGAAGTTTGTGTAGAGACAAAACTAACGAAAACGTCTTTCAAATCGGTTGAAAGAAAAACGGAACCACTTGAATTAATTCATAGTGACGTTTGTGATTTTAAATCAATACAAACACGTGGCGGTAATAAATATTTTATTACCTTTATCGATGATAGCACTCGCTATAGCTACGTTTATTTATTAAAAAATAAACACGAAGCAATCGATAAATTCATTCTTTATAAGAATGAAGTGGAAAACCAACTTAATCGACGGATTAAGACGGTTAGGAGTGATCGAGGTGGTGAGTATGAAGCACCAATTGGTGACTTTTGCGCTAGTGTGAGTATAGTACACGAACGTACCGCACCCTATTCACCTCAATCAAACGGTGTTGCCGAACGAAAGAATCGCACATTGAAAGATATGATGAACGCGATGCTAGTAAGTTCGGGCTTGCCACAAAATATGTGGGGCGAAGCAATCTTGACAAGCAATTACCTTTTAAATAAGGTTCCCCGGAAAAAATATGATAAAACTCCGTACGAGTTGTGGAAAGGCAGACGCCCTTCCTATCAATATTTAAAAGTGTGGGGGTGTCTTGCTAAGGTGCTTGTACCAACACCTAAGAAAATAAAAATAGGTCCAAAAACGGTGGATTGTATTTTTATTGGATTTGCACAAAATAGTAGTGCTTATCGGTTTTTAGTGTACGATTCGAATAATCCGGATGTACATAAAAACACAATAATTGAATCAAGGAATGCTTCATTCTTTGAAGATGTATTTCCATGCAAGTCCAACGAAGGGCCTAGCACATAAAAACGAACATTTGACGTAGCTATGGAAAATACTAGCGAGGGATCCGAAGAAGAACCCGAACCCAGACGTAGCAAACGTGCTAGAATTGAAAAATCCTTCAGACCGGATTTTCTCACCTACCTGGTAGAATTTGAACCGGATATTCTAACATGTATGGTAGAAAATGAACCGGATTTTCTAACATGTTTGGTAGAAAATGAGCCACGGACTTATACGGAAGCCGTGACGTCTACTGAAGGTCCTATGTGGAAAGAAGCCATCAAAAGTGAGGTGGACTCTATCCTAAAAAATCACACGTGGGAATTGGTTGATCTCCCTCCGGGATGTAAACCTTTGGGATCCAAGTGGATTTTTAAACGTAAAATGAAACCAGACGGTTCCATTGATAAGTATAAGGCCAGACTTGTAATCAAGGGATACAAGGAACGTGAGGGCCATGACTACTTTGACACGTATTCTCCCGTGACAAGAATAAATTCCATTAGGATGATACTAGCGATTGCCGCTTTGCGGAATTTGGAGGTTCATCAAATGGACGTAAAAACCGCTTTTCTAAATGGCGATATAGACGAAGAAATCTATATGGAACAACCCGAGGGTTTTCGTGTTCCAAGCCAAGAAAAGAAGGTTTGTAAATTAATTAAATCATTGTATGGATTGAAACAAGCCCCTAAACAGTGGCACGAAAAGTTCGATCATGCAATGTTAATTAATGGGTTTAAGATTAACGAAAGTGACAAATGCGTCTATGTGAAAAGCACGGTAGACGGGTATGTCATTTTATGTTTATACGTGGATGATATACTCATCGTGGGTAGCAATAATCTAATGATTAATTCTACCAAAAGCATGTTAAATTCTAAATTTGACATGAAGGATATGGGGCTGGCCGATTTAATCCTTGGGATTAAAATAATTAGAGGACCTGACGGTCTAACGCTAAGCCAATCCCATTACGTTGATAAAATCCTTACTAAATTTAATAAGGATGATTATCAAGAGGCAAGGACGCCATTAGATAAAAACACTCATCTTACCAAAAATCGTGGAGAGTGTATTTCTCAAGTAGAATACGCTAGGATTATTGGAAGTTTGATGTATCTAATGAGTTGTACCAGGCCTGATATTGCCTTTGTGGTTAGTAAGCTAAGTAGATATACTAGCAACCCCGGTGATGAACACTGGAAGGCAATAATACGGGTTTTGAGGTATTTACGTAAAACCCAAAACCTTGGACTGCACTATGGAAGATATCCAGCTGTACTTGAAGGGTATAGCGACGCTAGTTGGATATCCGACATAAAGGACTCTAAGTCCACAAGTGGATATGTTTTCACTTTGGGAGGTGCAGCCGTGTCGTGGAAATCCTCGAAACAAATGTTAATAGCTAGATCCACGATGGAATCTGAGCTAATAGCCTTGGATAAGTGCACTGAAGAGGCTGAATGGCTACGCCATTTTCTCGAGGATATTCCAAGTTGGGAGAAGCCTGTCCCTCCAATATGCATACATTGCGATTGTCAAGCGGCAATTGGAAGGGTTCAGAGCAATCTCTACAATGGTAAGTCTAGACACGTTCGTCGTAGACATAACACCATTAAACAACTCCTCACAACGGGTGTTATCACTGTTGACTACGTGAAGTCAAAGGATAACATAGCGGATCCGCTAACCAAGGCATTGGATAGAGAATTGTTGGAGAAGTTGTCACGAGGAATGGGACAAAAGCCCGTGAATTGAAAAGTTCTATAGTGGATACCCAACCTAGTTAGTCCTAGGTTCAAAAGGGACAACTAAATTATAGAGCGAAGGATGGTCATTGTGGGGGTCCCGGACTCCTACCCACTCCTCGTTAAAACAGTGACTCCCGCACGAGGTTAGCAAAAACCGTTTGCTTTAATGATTCTAAAATGTTGATCTACTCGATAACATTGGAAGAGTATGCGGGATACTCGTGAAAGAATCACCTATGTGAGAGAGAAGAGGGCCGCTTCAAAGGAGAACTGTAAAGGCTCAGTTCTTTAGAAACTCTTGCAGAACCAGGACGGTGACCCATGGCCAAAACGGGCACACCCATGAGAACGGAACAAAGTTGGAAGGTTCTTGTGTAAAGATAAGTCAATGTCTACACGACGGCAGTATAGTTCAAGAACATCGAGTCTACTAGACAGCCAGTAAATAAACGTGTCTTTACAACGGAAGGTTCAAAGAATAAAACCTACCTCTCCGTATGCAAGGATCATCCGGTGAACACAACGTGTCCTCCTATCTTCGTGTCTTTTTAAGTCTCGAAAATCATTTTTCATTCATGTGGGGGATTGTTGGAAAAATGTGTTAAAAATTGCATTAAATGGTCATTTTGGGGCAATTATTTGAGTGGGGTCCACTTCCGATTTGGGTCGGGTCAAAGTGGTTTCGGATTGTCCTTGTTAAGGGCTACAATTCGATATGTGGTACACTCAAAACGGATAACGGGTGAATGAGAAATTGATTCTCGAAGTTCACTCGTTGAAATGGAAAAACTGGGAAAAATGATGAGTTTCTAGTGTGTTTTATCCCACACCGAAAACCTCAAGGGATTTTCACCCCCTTATAAAGGGAAGCCTCTTTTAAGGAGTTAAGATTCCTAAAGGGAAAGGCTCTCTCTTACGCGCAGGGGGGGGGGGTGCCGATCAAATCCCGAAACCGAGAAGAAAAACCGCGACTCGTGTGCGCGGGCGACCTGCGGACACGAATGCCCTCCAAGGGGGTTTTGTTGGCTTCGGATAGAAACCCTCCAAGGGGGTTCTGTTGGCATCGGACAGAAACCCTCCAAGGGGGTTCTGTTGGCTTCGGACAGAAACCCTCCAAGGGGTGTTCTGTTGGGGTCTTCTGTCGCGCACTTCTTCCGTTACAACAATTAATGCCCAGCGTTCTTCTCTTTTAATGCTGCGTTAAATGGACAGTTTATGGACGATTCAATGCCCAACGGACTGGTCATTGATGTCCAACGTTCAGGTCCATTAACACCCCATTTAACACACAACAAATCCTCCTATAAATAGCTGGCAGGTGCTTTGCAACAAACACACGGTTTGACAACGCACAACACTTTCCTCACGTTTTCTTGAGCTAAAAACTCTTCCAGCTACTCCCAAAATTGCTTCTGTGTTCATACTTGGTTCTCGTTCGCTGGAACTCTTGTTTGTGTGCTCAAACATTAGTTCGTAGTCATCGTATCCTGGGAAACGATTGTTGCAACGCTCCTAGCACCGTGAGAGGCAACAAATACGTTTTAAGGAAATCGTGCGTAGCACGAGCTTTGGCTAATTCTGCTTCATCTCCTTTCTTGTTTTTCTCTAGTCATTTTATTTAATTAATTTATTTTAATTAATTTTCTTTATTTTCCGAAACACACCCAACACGGTTTCGCTGGACTGAAGAACAAGGCCCCGCTATTCTAAGGGCGTACAATGCCAGAGTTTCAAACTGGCTTCGTCCCACTTTTAAGCGTGCCCGAGCCAGTGGGGTAAGGCCTCAATGGTGTTCGGATGAGGTATGGGAAAACCTCGTCCGCCACTGGTCTTCGGATCCGACTTTCTTGGCTAGAAGCGAAGCCGGGAAGAAAAATCGGATGTCCGAGAAGGCATTGACGACACAATGGCACGGAGGCCGCAAACCCCAGAGTAAACATAAAGAAGCTCTTGTAAGTCTTATTCAAATAAACCTACACCATTTTAACCTTTTATTTTTTTACATTTATTTAAACCTTTTTCTAACCTTGTAGGCGGGGCCTCAAAAGAAGAGGGTCCCTATCCTCAATGTAATCAAACACTGTTGGACGAAGAACGGTGTTGAGTCGCCAACCAATCTACCACCCTGCCTTGCTGAAATCGAAGTATGTAACATCAATACTATTATTTCAAATTGAAGTAAATATCATTTGAATAATTTTTTTAAATGTTTGTAGACAAAATATAACGCAAATGTTGAAAAGAAGCGGACGGAACTAGGCTTGACTCAAGAAGATGACATCGATTCTGATGTGGAAGATGATGCCATCCTTGAGGCAGCAGGGGTGTACAAGGGTCGGCTTCCATGCCTCGGGGCTGAGAGGCAACGTATTTTGTACGATCGCAGCGGCAGCGGAGCTTCATCATCTTCTCGATCTAGGCGAGGAGAGGATCCACGCATTGCCCAATTGCAGCGAGAATTGGAGGAGGAGCAGCGTGCATTTGAACAGCAACGGAAGAATGATGAAGAAACGAGGGCCCGGCGGGAAGCAATGGAACGGATCCTTACTGGATATCAGCCTCCGCCTCAGCCTCATCCTCGGCCGTACATTATGCACGTTGAGCGTACTCCTCAGGTTCCGCACATGGGTAGTATGGGTTACCACTCTAACTCCGGTTATGATGCCATGCCTGCAATAGGGTCGACATTCGGATCTCTGTCGTCTGATATGCTCAATCAGTTTCAGTCATCGAGTGGAGGCAACCGAGGAGGCAGCCGAGGAAGCCACCGAGGAAGCAACCGAGGAGACAATCGAGGAGGCAACCGAGATTATTATGTTTAAGATTGTATGGAATTTATTTTTATTCTAATTGCTTTAAAATAAAATTAAAATAATTTTTTATTTTTTTATAAAAAATTGTTTTTTTAAATCAAAAACATTAGTCACGGACTAAATCCGTGACTACTTTTTAATCCGGAATAAATTCAATTTTCATTTTTTTATTTTTTATTTAAAATCGACTTTTTTTAAAAAACAAAAACATTAGTCACGGACCAGATCCGTGACTACATTTTATCCGGAATAAATTCAAATTTTTTAAATTTAACATAGTCACGGATATGTCCGTGACTACTTTAAAAATAAAAAAAATTAAATTAAACGTAGTCACGGATCCTGTCCGTGACTAACTCAAAAAAATTTAAATTAAAAGTAGTCACGGATCCTGTCCGTGACTAACGTGTCGGATGGCTTATTCCGGTCAAGATGTAGTCACGGATCGACGTCCGTGACTAATCCGTGACTAATCCGTGACTACACCTAGTCACGGCCAAAGTCCGTGACTACATTCTAGTCACGCGGAACTAGTCACTGAACTAGTCACGGACGCAGTCCGTGACTAAAAGTGTTAGTCACAGACTTTTTACACTACGGTCCGTGACTACAGGCGATTTTTTTTGTAATGTGTCTTTAGTAATTGACAAATCGTTGGGTTGGATTATTGTGAAACTTTTTACGTTGTCCGTTATTTGAAAGGTTCTCATGGTTTGGGAATTGAATTCTTCTACACGCAGATAATCCCCCACTTCAAAGGGGTGGTGCGACTCAGATTAGGCTTCATGTCCTATCACGTGATGATCAATTTGGGTGGGTCATATTTCTTGGAAAACCAAGAAACAATAGATTGTCTCGTATTCCTCTGCCTAATATTCCTCTGCATGTGAACTGAAATGGTTGCAAACTTTACTTCTTAGTTTGAGTATTTATCACCTTGTGCTCTTATTCTATTTTGCGACAGTCAATTTGTCATTCACATTGCTCACAATCTAGTGTTTCATTAGCGGGCCAAACATATTGAAGACACTTGTCATTTTGTATTTTTGTACGAGATGTTATCAAAGATGTTATCACATCATTTCCACCATTTGTTCAAGTCTTTGACTTTGACCACTTATTTACATGATTATTGTGTTTTCGGTCATATATGATACTGTGAAATTGATATAAAACTCATAGGTTCAAAAGTGAAATTATAGTGTCATCAATTTGTATATTTTTTCAATCACGTATGATATTTCGTTGGTGAGAGTTAACCACATTATTAGTTAGTTTTTAGGGAGTCTTTGTCTTTTTATTATGCCTTTGTCCTTTGTAAAATATTATTGTACAATAGATGACTTTAGATTATGAATCATATTATACAGTGGTTTCCTTGGGTGATTAATATACGAATGATTTCTCTCTGGCAAAATATATGCTTTAACACTATTAAATTTCTGTACTCTACAAATTAGAATAGTCATTTTTATCCACTAAAAAAAATAGTTATTTTCATAAGACTACATTTAATGTATGTGTAATACGATTGTTTGTTACAATCTATTTCAGATACAGTGAAGAAATGATGATTAGGGCACTACAACACTGCTGCGATATTGTCCAAGCGCCCATATGGGAAATATATTCCGATAGGATGCATAGTTTAATGTGCAGTGCTTCATAAATACTCCAGAAATTTCCTGAAATTCACATTTTTGTTTAATTAGTACTCAAAATATAATTATCCAATCCTTGGTCCATATTATTTCATTAAGATAAGATGGACATTTGTTTCATCGATCATGGTATGATAATTAGATGTTCACAATCTTTTGACATTTAATGGACATTATTAAATCATTTCTAAACTAATACGTAGTAACTTTCACAGGAAAATTATATAAGTTTTTATTTATTTTAGTTTGGATTCTAAATAAATTGCGGATGATATATATGTATTAAAAAATATGCTCATATATATACATTTTCATTGTACATCAAATATATATATATATATATATATATATAGAGGGAAGAGATCAAATAAAAAGAGGTTCTCCCGTGCAAAGTGCAAATAATTGCACTTTTTCAGCATCGCGTTGCACTTTTGCGTGTTTCTGTTACACTTTTTCGTGATGTATATTATATATTAGTGTTTCATATAAAAAGATATTCTCTCGTGCAAAGTGCAAACAACTGAAACAAGTGCAAAATATATATTAGTATATATATATACACTAATATATACGAAGTATATTAGTAAAAACGTAACTTTTTGTGGAGTATAAAATACATTAGGCACCTTGAGTCCTCGACTATATATTGACATTTCCAAATTGAACCGAATCAACCCTCATGTATTATTTCCGTCCACCGTACAACCGGCTGTACGGTGAGCACCGTACAGCCGGTGACATTTTTGTAATATAATATGAAAATTGCGAGATCTGCTATTTGAGCATTAGTGTACTGTTAATGAGCAATAGTCTAATTTTAATGAGTATTAAGAGTCTAATAATGAGCACCATGTTATTACAAGAAAGCTTATATCACAACTAAAAAACGGTGACATTTTCGTAATTTCAGTGAAAATCACGGTTTTCGTTAGACGAGCATTAATACACTTTTAATGAGCATCAGACGTATTCTACTAAACATTAAGAGTCGAATAATGAGTATTGTGATATCAATTTCATATATTGTAATTCACTTTCTTTTTATTATTTTTTCTATTATAAAACCTCATTAAATTATATGTATAAGCATTTCATATGAATTTCAATCAATATGCAAATCTAATATAATATGGTACTTTTGAAATATGCATTGATATGACATTTTAAAAATGAGTATAACATGACTACCAATTGATTATACCAACTTATAAAATGAGTATAAGTTTTTCTAGTTGAGCGAGCTACAAAACATTTTCATTGAGAATCAAACATCTTGTTTTGAGTATTATAAACATGCACTTGAGTATCATGATCTATATATATATATATGCTCTTGTATCTATAATCAACTCCTACGTGAATATAATGTAATTATACGGAGTAATAGTTTTCAAATATGCATTGATATAACATTTTAAAATGAGTATAACACCATTACAAAATGAGCATACATTAGTTTCCAAATGAGCAATGATATAAAAAACATAATCTTTGTTAATTAGTTGAAAATCAAAACATGTTCGCTGAGCATCAGACCCCCTCTATTGAGTATCAAAAGCATACAATTGAGTATCATGATCTACTTCACACTTATATGACATTTTAAAACGAGCACAAAACCAATACTTAATGAACAAACGTACTTTACAAAATGAGCATCACAAAATACAAAAGCTCGTTCGAATTCTCTAATGTAACATAGTAATAAAAAATATAGTAATTTTATATTAAAAATAATTTATAGTCTTTCATTCTTGAATTACAAATATAATCAGGTTCTTTTTATAATGTTTAGTATCGAAAAATTCAAAAGCTCGTTTGAATTCTCTAATGTGTTCAAATGTTCATTTGTGTTCAAAAGTAGTTTATATAAAAAATAATTTATAATCTTTCATTCTCGAATTACAAATATAATCGGGTTCTTTTATAATGTTTTAACCATGCATATTTATTTTTATTTTATACTATACTCATTTTAGTATAACACAAAAATCACGTTAGTTATTAACACACAATATTTAATAAACTAATAAATATTCATTTTAAATTAAAAATAGAAAAATAAAGCATTAATACCTAAAATATTTAAAAAAATGCTCATATATATACACCTTCTAAGTACTTTCATTGTACATCAAATATATATATATATATATATATATATATATATATATATATATATATATAAGGAAGAGATCAAATAAAAAGAGGTTCTCTCGTGCAAGGTGCAAACAATTGCACTTTTTCAGCATCGCGTTGCACTTTTGCGTGTTTTTGTTACACTTTTTTGCGATGTATTTTATATATTACTGTTTCATATAAAAAGAGGTTCTTCCGTGCAAAGTGCAAACAAGTGCAAAATATATATTAGTATATATATATATACACTAATATATATATTAGTAAAAACGTAACTTTTTGTGGAGTATAAAATACATTAGGCACCTTGAGTCCTCGACTATATATTGACATTTCCAAATTGAACCGAATCAACCCTCATGTATTTGTCCATAAAAAAATTATTTGATGATTAATAGTGTGTAAAAGTTTTTAATTAAAACTTTGAACACATGATATAAAGTTAATTATGTTAAAAACACATATCTACAAATGTTAAGAGATACTCCAATCATTACAAAAACACAAATGAACATTATTTAGTTTTATGTTTCTTAAGAATTAATATGATAACCATAAATGTATCATGATATGATATAAGTATATTATTAGTGATATATTTATATAAAATACTCTATACACGATATAATGCACACTATTAGGGTACTTTCTTAGAAAAAATTGTTTCCCTTTACTTTTGGCATTTCCCAAAATGTTCTCTAATTTTCTTATTATGAAGACTAAATATTACTTTATTGTGGTTGATGTGTTAGGAATAATTTTGGACAACAAATAAACTCGAAATTTATTTGGAATCAAGAAAATTTCATTAACATCATTTATAATTGTATATTTCTTTCGATTTTTGTAGTTGCAATATTCCCATTTTCATGTTTACTAATGCAGAACTATGACCATTATATTTAACTTTTAATATATAGTAAAAAAATTAAAAATTTGGTTATGAAAATTTGTAATAAGATGAATTCAACATTTAAAAAAATCATACATTTACAAATAAAATGTAGTCAAAGTAAAGAATATGAGTAGTGTAACATTTTCAATGTTGCAACTAAAAACAAACGGGGATATATATATATATATATATATATATATATATATATATATATATATATATATATATATATATATATATATATATATATATATATATATATATATATTACGTACTCTAATAGCACTTTTTGTTTATTGTAATTATATCCATTTTTCTTATTCATCTCTTATATAGTTTTATTAAGGTCACTTTTGTATCATATGTAATATTAAAAAGCATCGTTCAGAAAATATGATGTTCAAAATTAAATATGATGAATACCTATGTATTATACGTAGTACTTCGTATATAATATTGATCATCATTCAGTATATTGTATACGAAATTAATTATGTTAAGTATAAAAACGTTGGTATTATTATTTTGTGTAAGTGATTATTCTTTATGTTAAGTTCCATTATTATATATATACACATTAGTTATAAGAGTTCATTAAATACTTCAACAATATCATTTTATGGGAGCTGAGGGAAAATAAAATATTTAATTCCCAACCATACTATCTATATATTCAACCATACTATTTTTATATATATAAGGATATTAATAATATTATAATTGATATATTATTGTATTAATATATAAGTATGTTATTACTCCATACCTGTTGAGGGTAGTCTCCGTCATCCATCTGTGAATTTATTAATACCCTGATGCCTCGGTGAATTGGGGTCGGATCCACCTTAGCCTGATTGTTATTAAGCATTAAAGTAAATAAATAAATGATAACTATTATTGACTATATATATTATAATGTTATGTAAAAATGTTATGGACAAAAATGTGACTTAGTAACTATTAGTGATTATAATTGTGTTAAAATTTACATCACAATAACTTACATTTAGTTACTATGATGTAAATTTTGAACACAATTGTAGTCACTAATAGTTACTTAGTAATATTTTTGTCCATCACATTCTAAAGAGTAATATTTATGGAATTATTTCTAATTGACGTTTTTCCTAAAATATTACTAATAAGTAAGTCAATGAAAAAAATACGATTTAGTAATTTTTAGTAATTATAATTGTATTCAAATTTTATATCATAGTGACTACATCATAATAACTTTGAATATAATTATAGTCACTAAAATATATTAGGAGTAATATTAGTAGAATATTTTCAAAGGATTAACCCCATAGAGTTTTGCTCCATGAGAAAATTCTTTAAGTAGGAGTAAAAAAGTTTTGAAATTTCAAAATATGACTATCATGTTTTTATTCCCTAAATAGGAGTAATTTATGTCATGTTTGGCATTACCAACTTTAAACATGACAATTTTCTCCAAACTTGACAGTTTTTTTCAAACTTAGCAAAAATTACCCTATATAAGGAATAAAAACATGAGATCCTATTTTGGAAGGCAATTTCTATTGCTCCCTTTCTTAGTTACTGAATATTGGAAGTGAATGATTTCTGTAAAAGAGACATTTATTTTGAATGAGTAAAAGTATAGAACATTATAATGTGAACTTACATAATCGGCTGCAATAAGAGCTAGCAGAGCCCATGATGTCTGAACTAAATGTGACCGATTTCCTTCTAGGTTTGTGTACACCTAGTAGTAATTGAGTATATATAATACGGAGTATATAAATAAAGACACATTGAGAGTAATGTTTGTCGTTAGAATTATCCTTTCATTTAATGCAATACACACACACCCTCCCTACACATATTGTATTTAATAAAGCTTGTTGCGGTGGGCGTAGCTCAACTGGTAGCAAGGGAGTGCCACAAGGGTTAGGTCTCGGGTTCGAATCCCGGTAATTACGATGAGTGGTTACTATGCTAAAAATGCATAGGGCCTCTGCAAGTAACGGGGACAGAGCTTCACTCTCTATCTGTCAGATTGTGATTATAGTCCAATTACATCCTCCCAACGTACCGTCCGGTCAGGGTTGAGGCCTTCAGGGATGGGGTGTCATCTTTTTTCTAAATAAAGCTTGCTGTTAATTATATGTAGGCTAACTACTAAATCACAAAGATTAGTGAAATAATAGTCGAAACAACTGAACAAACTGATACACAAGAGTTACATTTAAAATACGATAGTATCTTTTATCAATGTAACAAATAAAAGATCATATGAAAAAATTGAAGTGTCTTCTTTGGTAAATGCAACAAGAAAAGTAATCTCAATTTACTTACTACTCAGTAATATCTAGTTGAACCGGTGTATCACTAGTGGTATATGTAGAGAGAATTGGTAAGTTATATTAGTGAGGAGTGCAATCGTATTAATGGTTTTCGAGTCAATACATTTGCCAATAAACATAACGGCTATTTATACTAATCATAAATGTTACGTGCATTAAATGCACGCACACGTGTAGGCTAGTCTATGACGGAGAATCGACGTAAGGAAGATCCGGACACGTGGTAGAACATTAAATAATGCGATAGTTGAGTGTCTGCGGATGGCCGAGAGTCCTTTGGACCGAAACTGATCGAGGGCTTCACCTTCAGGTATGGAAGGCTCTATCACGGGGGCTCACTTGGAGATGGGAATGTTCTGGATCGACTATGTCAAATGTTCATTCTCTGAGTTGTCGTGGCCCATAGCCATCGGGCGTTACCCAAGGGGTGGCCATTGAGGTAGTAGGGCCTGTTGTGGTGTAGTAGAAGTATGTGGACCGGGGAGTCTTGAACCATATACTCCATCACTTACTTTGATAATTAAATCATTTAATGTGCAAAAAGTGCTGTGTTTAATTAGAAAAACAATGACAATATGCAAAAAAGAAAAAAGAAAAATCAAACCTTTCTTGAACAAGATAAATAACTCTCTCCCCATCCCCCATCTAAGAGCTGCTTTGAGAGCAAAAAGTGACAAGCCCTGCGCACAACGTTACTATTCTCCCACTTCTTCCCACATGTTGCCAATGCCTCCACAGCAAACCACGTTGCATACGTGTAACATATCCCCCAGCTTCCCGTCCTACAGTTTTTAATTTAACATAATGAAATATTTAGAATTTTATTTCTCCTGATTAAAAGTAGATATTGGAGTTTTTGGATGAAGTGTAGAAGTATTCTGAGAGCTTCAAAGAATCAAATTACTCATAAAATCAGTTTTTAGAAGCTAAGAGTTGAAAGATAATAAATGGCAAAAAGCATAGCTCATCATATTGATGTAGCTAGATATATATACGTAGTATTAGAGCTTGAGAAGCTCCAGGTTGTTACAAGTGATAAGGTTTGATATACAAGGATAATATCCTAATACAAATAAGCTACGTAAAGGATAATTATACAAAGAATATAATTGGATAATACATGAATAATAATATAGACATTATATTCTATCATGCCCCCGCAAGCAAAGGGATCCGGGGAGGATGCCAAGCTTGGATCGATGAGAGAGAAACAACTTCCGATGAAGAGGTTTTGTGAGGGAATCAGCAAGTTGGTCGTGAGTGGGAACATGAACAACTCGAAGAGAACCATTAGCAACTTGTTCACGGACAAAATGAAAATCAATAGCAACATGCTTCATACGTGAGTGAAATACTGGATTGGCACACACATAGGTAGCACTTAGGTTGTCACAATAAACAGTAGGAGCACGGGGAGGAGAAATGTGCAAATCTTTAAGAAGATTACGTATCCAAGTGAGTTCGGCTGTGGCACCGGCAATGGCCCGGTATTCAGCTTCAGTAGATGAACGAGCAACGGTAGTTTGCTTTTTTGAGCTCCAGCTAATGGGATTACGGCCAATGAAGATGACATAAGCAGAAGTAGAGTGACGTGTATCAGTATCACCGGCCCAGTCGGCATCAGCAAATGCATGCAAAGAGAGAGGAGTATGAGCAGATATATAAATACCAAAATGAGTTGTGCCTTTGAGATATCTAAGGACACGTTTAACAGCCTGCCAATGGAGCGTAGAGGGACAATGCATAAACTGGGCTAATTTGTTGACTACAAAACTGATATCTGGACGGGTGAAGGCCAAGTACTGAAGAGCACCTAAAACACTACGGTACTCTTTGGGATCGTAAGGGGCAGCACCATCTTTCAATGATAGATGGTCATTAGGGGAGATAGGTGTAGGTACAGAACTGGCATCTTGCATGTTGGTACGACTAAGTAAGTCACGGGTATACTTGTTTTGACTGAGAAAAAGTCCTGATGATGAGCGTAAGGCTTCCAAACCAAGAAAATATGATAAGGAGCCCAAATCTTTGAGAGAGAACCGACTGGCCAACCGGGTAATAAATGATAGAACAGTAGATTCAGAGTTACCCGTGATGATGATGTCATCCACGTAAACCAAGAGGAAAAGAAGACAGCCCGATGTATGATGGATGAAGAGGGAGACATCACTTTTGCTATTAGTAAAACCAGAGGCGAGGAGATAGGTGCGAAGTTCACAGTACCATGCCCGGGGTGCTTGACGCAGACCATAGAGAGCTTTGTGGAGGAGGCAAACATGGCTAGGATGATTTGGATCAACAAAACCGGAAGGTTGCTGCATGAAAACTTTATCAGATAAGGTGCCCTGTAAAAAAGCATTATTAACATCCAATTGTCTAATTGGCCAGTGATGAGTAACCGCTAAAGTGAGAACAATTCGGACGGTAGCCGGCTTAACAACCGGGCTAAAAGTATCAGTAAAATCAACGCCAGGGCGTTGGTGAAAACCTTTGGCAACAAGCCTTGCTTTATATCGTGCAACAGAACCATCAGGATTTTGCTTAACCCGAAAAACCCATTTACAACCAATAACATTTTGTGTGGAATCAGGAGGTATAAGGGACCATGTTTGATTTTTATGAAGAGCAGTGATTTCTTCCTGCATAGCAGTGCGCCAATGAGGAAGGAGATTTGCTTGTTTGAAGGTTGTGGGAGCAACTGGTGCAGGGGTTTGAAGTGTAGTATGCAAGGCATATTTTGGATTAGGCTTGAAAATGTTGTTTTTAGAACGGGTGATACGGGGAGAGAGAAGAGGCTTACTTGATGCATGAGAATTCATGCACGTAGATGGATGTTGGGTGGAATGAGTGGGAGGTGGGATGTTGGGTGAGGATATGGGTTGACTTGGGGGTGCATTAGAATTAATGCACGTAGATGGGATATTGTTATTAAGTGGAGATGTTGGTGGGGTATTATTTAGGTGAGGTGGAGAGATAGAATTTGTGGGGGAAGGTGGATCAGTAGTGGAAGGATAAGGGATGACAAGGTGAGGAGATAAGTGTTGACTAGGTAAATGTGGCGCAGATTTGCTGGAGGAATTAGTGGTGGCCGTTTGGGGGGTGAGAGATGGATAGAATTGTTCAAGTATATGTGGAGGAACGGTGAGAGGAGTATTAGCTGATTTATAGGGTAACATATGTTCATGAAAAATGACATGCCTAGAAATATACATACGATTTGTTGATAAATCAAGACAGTAATTTGCATGATGTGTGGGGGAAAAACCGAGATATAAACAAGGACGAGAACGAGGTTGTAATTTATGATTACTATATGGACGGAGCCAGGGATAACAAAGACATCCAAAAATACGAAGAGTCCGATAATTAGGAGTGTCTCTGAATAATTTGGAAAATGGACTTTGGTGAGATAAGAGTGAAGTTGGGAGACGATTTATGAGATATGATGCATGTTGAAATGCATAGGTCCAAAATTTGAGTGGGACCCCGGCATAAAATAAGAGGGTAAGAGCTGTTTCAGTAACATGACGGTGTTTACGTTCAGCAGAACTGACATGTTCAGGTGTATATGGGGGAGATTTGAGATGCTCAATTCCATGTTTGGAGAGTAGAGGTGTGAGAGCTTGAAATTCACCGCCACCATCACTATAAAGAGTTTGAATTTTTGTGCTAAAATAATTTTCAATGAGAGCACGAAATTTATCAAAGACAGAATAAACATCTGATTTATATTTGAGCGGAAATAACCAAGTGTATTTGGAATAGTAATCAATAAATAGAACATAATATCGTTCATTATTAATTGAGGTAACCGGGGATGGACCCCATACATCGGTATATAAATACTGAAATGGACGGGTACATTTTATTGAGGAAGAAGAGAAAGGTAATTTATGCATTTTTGCTTGAATACATGAATCACATGAGTCAACAGGTTTATTTTGGGGACATAATTGACGATGGACTTGAGCAGATGGATGACCGAGGCGGTAATGCCATAATTGAGAGACTGTGAGATTGACTTGAGGACGAGTGGAACGAGGCCAAACATAGAGATTATTTTCACTCCGGCCGCGGGCCAAGGATTCCCTCGTGAGTAGATCCTTCACAATAAAAGAGTCGGGTGAGAATTCAATAGAGGTACGGTTTTGTTTACAAAACTGATTAACGGAGATGAGATTAGTATGAATATGTGGAGCACACAAAATGTTATTAAGTTTAAAATGAGAGTGGGGAGAAGAAATAACCGAGGAACCTGTATGAGATATAGAGAGACTTTTACCATTACCAAGCATTACTGAGTCAGGGCCACCGTAGTCAGAGTGAACTTGAAGGTTGTTGAGGTCCGAAGTGATATGGTGAGTAGCACCAGTATCCAGGAGCCAATTGGAAGGGGAAGAACTAGTAGTAGTACTGGAGGCAACATTAGCAGCAGGGGGGAAACGACTGTAGCATGTCTTAGCGGTATGGCCTGGTTTGTCACACAATTGACAAGTAGCAGCGGGAGAACCAAATCCCTGGGAATGAGGTATGGATGCAGAATACGGAGATCGACCACGACCACGACCTCGTGGTTTAGCAGATGAACCACGTCGTTGAGTGTATTGCGCCGTAATAGGGACATCAAAGCTAGTGGGCTGATCTCCGGCAAGAATTTCAGCTTCAATAAGAAAGTCACGTAATTGCTCAAACGAAGGAGGAGTAGGTTGGACACGGAGTGCGCCAACCAGGTCTTTGTATTCGCCGCCTAATCCAGTGAGAATATAGGAAGCAATCTGACCAGTGCTTTGAGGGTGACCTATGGTGGCGAGATCGTCGATGAAAGTGCGCATGGTGGCCATATAATCAGCAACGGATTTGCCAGCCTTTTTTGTGGTCATCAAAGAGGAGAGCAAAGAGAGCATTCGAGTTGTGGAGCTGTTAGCAAAGCTGGTCTCAAGCTTTGTCCATGCCGAGGAAGAAGAGGTGCAGGAATTGATGATAGGGCTAATAGTGACAGCCACTGTGGACTGAATAGCCAGTAAAACTAGTCGATCTTGACGTAACCACAAGGAGCGATTGGCATCGGAGGAAGTCGGGCAGGGGGTGGAGCCGTCGATGTATCCCAGGAGATCATAACCAAATAATAGGTTAGTGAGTTGTGATTTCCAAGATGAATAGTTGCTGCCATCTTTAGATAATTTGATTGGAATTTGGGAAGAAGCATTGAGAGATATGAGCTGGGAAAGATCATGTTGGGTGGGTATGAGGTGTGAGGCAGAGGTAGTAGATGATGGCATCGTAAATGGATCGGAGATCAATCAAAAGATTGAGGCGTCTGATACCATGAAAGATAATAAATGGCAAAAAGCATAGCTCATCATATTGATGTAGCTAGATATATATACGTAGTATTAGAGCTTGAGAAGCTCCAGGTTGTTACAAGTGATAAGGTTTGATATACAAGGATAATATCCTAATACAAATAAGCTACGTAAAGGATAATTATACAAAGAATATAATTGGATAATACATGAATAATAATATAGACATTATATTCTATCAAGAGTGACCGACTTCTAAAAAACGATTCTGATTATATTTCAGATTTTTTTTCTTCAAAATATTACTAAAATAAAACATATTTACACAAATATGACTAATATGAACATAAGTTACTATAACTTCATTATCACTCTAGTTACTAGTCACATTTTTGTAAACAATCTATATTTTAGCATATATGTAATTATTTCTTATATTTCTGCTTTTAAAAAAGAAGCACAATCAATTATAAACACCGCCATAATGTCAAAGTATAATTACATTAGTACATACTTACTGGTTACAAGATCAAACTTGGAGGTGAGCAAAGTTAATTGACTATCAAGTGTATAAGTGTGTGAGAGTTGGGTCCATATATACTGTCTGATCATTGTGCCATTGAATTTGGCTATTAGATATATACTCCGTATTAGAGAAATATATGTGAATAAAATATACTCTCTTCGTCTCATAAAAAGATTTTCACTTTCTCTTTTTGGACGTCTCATATAAAGATTCTCATTTTCATTAAATATTAAAAATAATATTTCGTACATTTATAACATTACAGTTATCAACACTAACCTCATTATATTATATACGTACTTACGTAGTACTATACCTATTGATTTTTTTTCTCAAAATACACTCACAAATAACTTATTTAATTATTGTATAAATAACTGTATCGTTTTATAACTTTTCAACGGGAAGAAGATAACAAGTTTATCAAATATATAGAAGCCGATAAATTATTGAACGTACAAATGAGGGAATTGAATGAGTTGCATTTAAATTGTACCATGAACCATCAAGGTTTTGTACGCTCTCGATATATTGAATGCCTCTTCGAATGCTACTATCAATTTCACATTTTCTGTATTGAGGGTGCAACTTTTGGAAAAGTGATAGGCTTTGAATTGCTGATGAAGTGCACTCCACATACCTGGGAAAAAAATATATATATATATATAATACACAATCGATCTCATAAATGAATACTGAGATTTTTATTAGGGAAATTTACAATATTCATCCCGTAACTTTCAGTCGATATCATTATTAGTCCCGTAACTTTAGTCACTTGCAAATTTGGTCCTCTAACTAATTAATATTTACGATTTAAGGACTTTTCCCCCGAAAAGTACACTTTCCGGCAATAGCATACCGGAAAAGATGTCGCTGGAGCCAAACTTTTCCGCCGGAAAGTGTACTTTCCGGTGGGAAAGTCCTTAAATTGCAAAGATTTATTAGTTATAGAATCAAATTTGCTAGTGCTTAAAGTTACAGGACCAAAAACGATAACAGCCGAAAGTTACAGGACTAAAATTGCAAATCTCCCTCACAAATAAATTACGAGGATAATAAGAACATAATTTAAAACGGGGGGAAATAAAAGGTCTTACTCCCTCTCAATAAGAACATCTTCAAAAAACTCCAAAGCATTGAGCTTCTGAAATAGAATGCAATACTTTAACATTTGTGTGTTGCTTAACGTGCAGTGAGACAAGTTTTGTGGTGTACCGTGTACATAGATGCTGTTTATAATCATATATAAATACCATATAATACTAATTTTCTGGGTATTTTTGTGAACAAATTAAAGCACTGTTTGTGTAGAAGTTGGTAAGTTGGTTCTATGATGGATGGTTTCACTTGAACTAAAAATTTCTACTCTAATTCAATATGGTCTGGTGCAATTTAGCATGATTGTGGGGGTGTTGAGAAAACGTCCAACATTGTAGAAAAACGTGGAAATTAACAAGCAGTAAACAAGAGAGTTAATCACCAATGGCTTGAATAGGCCTTTTATATATGTCTTATACATGTAATCTAATATACTAATTTGTCAACCACAACTTTTACTTTTCTTTCCAAAATATTACAACCACAATTTTTACTTTTACTCAAATCACAATCACAATTAATCAGAATCACAACTTTTATTTTTCAATCTTTTTACTAATTATTGTGTCAAATTAAAATAAGACAATTAATATGGGATAGAGGTAGTAGCATGTATGAGTTAAGAAGTACTCAAATATACTTCCTCCGTTCTTAAATAAATGCAACGGTCAACATTTCACACTTGCCGAGACACAACTTTGACCGTTAATATAAATGAGTTTGTATTAGTAAAAAAATTAAAAAAATTAGATAATGAAAATTTACAATGAGACAAGTTTAACAATATTTTTTTCATAAAATAATATTATTACATTAATAAATAAAACGTAGTCAAAGTAGAACATGTGAATAGTGTAAAAGTCAAAGTGTTTCATTTATTTAAGAAGGGAGGTAGTATATGGTTTGCTCACCTCAACCCAATTGAACGTTCGTCTAGGCTCCCATGCAAAAAACCCGCCG